GACAGGACACAGAGTATCAATACTACTGGCAGGACACAGAGTATCAACACTACTGACAGGACACTGATGATCCCATGTTTCCTGCTCCTGCTTCTTCTTTCTGTTGGTGAGTGATTTTCAACTTTTTGCCACAATCATTTCTAGTATACATGTAAATCCTGGGTCAGCTGGTTTTATTTCAGTCCCCACATCAAACTGACATTTCTTAACTTTGTGCTTTGTGTCCCTCAGGATTCACACAGTACACACACACGTGTATTCAACTGAAAGAGGTCCAGCAGGAGGTGCAGATGCTCAAACAGTGGACGAACACGCTTGTTCCCGTGGCAGACACGATGGCAAACTTCGCCTTAGAATCGCTAGGTGAGCCATCGTCATCATCTTCATCATCGTGTCATCACTATTCATACATGTGCTTTATTGTGGAACTTGTTCGGAGGTTGGTTTCTAACTTTGTACGTGTGTCCTGTACTTGTGTGCATGCAGGAGCCAGAGTTTTACGTCACTTATCTTCGGACACATATTGCAACAAAGGAGCTGGAATATTGGATAGACAATTCTTCGGGTGCTATTCATCCAAAGCACAGCGAAGAGTGATCCAGGTAGGAGTTACAGCCACATTGCTTTACAGTGTCTTGTAATTACACTTTTGAAACTTCTGGTATTTAATATCAAAGAACATGGAGGTAACAGTTGCAAAATTAAATTCTCTCCCCCTTAGGGACAGTCACCGTTGCTTCCAGGAGAATGCTGGTCCTTTGCAGGCAGCCAAGGGCATTTATTCGTCTCCCTGTCGCACCCAGTCTCCATCACTCACGTGACACTCGGCCACATCCCAAAGAGCCAGTCCCCCGATAGACACATTTCAAGAGCACCGAGGGAATTTTCAATCTACGTAAGTCAGACATTTTCTGTCGTCATCCTCGACATGTCATACACAACAAAAGGCTCTGCTCATCTCCGTTTCTTTTCTGTCTCTTCCAGGGTATGAGCACCACGGATGAGGAAGGCACCTACCTGGGGACACTGGTTTACGATCAGGACAGCGCAGCACTTCAGACCTTTGAACTGCCCGTGAGTATGACATAAGTTAGACAGAACAGAATCCATGAACGTGTTATTCGGTCACATTCAAAAACATTGTGAGGTTACCAGATTTCTCCACAAGCATAATAAGCAGAGATTAGCTTTAACTATTTATTGTTCTTCTGAGAATGAAACCTCGTCCTGCCATGTTAATGGCTGCAAGCTGTAGTTAAACTAACTATTAGAGATAGAGGTGGAGCTGCTATTAATACTATAGATTACAAACATGCAAAGACCATGTGGTCAACACAGATGCCAGGAACATCTGGAATTAAAACAAAATGTCTTCTTTATCGCTGATGTCCTATCCTTTCATTTGTGTCTGTTACATTGCCTGACTCTCTTTATCCATTTCTCTCTCTTGTCTCTGACCAGAATCCAGACATAGGGGTCTTCAGACATGTGAAGCTACAGATCAACAGCAACTGGGGACACATGGAGAACACCTGCCTCTATAGCTTTAGGGTTCATAGTAACTCAAAGGTATAGAAGGTAAATCAACACCTCTGTTCTTCCATGTCTGCGTGGGTTTCCTCCCACGGACCACACATGCCAGTTAATCTGGTGTGTTTGGTTATGCAAATAAAGTTTGAAAGACAAATAAAGTTTGAAATGTAAATTTGAAATAACAATAAAACTTTGAAATGCAAATACTATGCTCTATGTATTCTATTCAACAATAAATGCAAATTTTCCAATGTTCCATCAAAGTTAAACTGTTCTTCATCTCTTTTGATTATTAACAAGGATTAGTGGACTAAACATTGAGGTAGCTTTTCACTTTTAGCCGCAGCTGGTCAACACTTTGGGCAGTAAAAATGACACTTGGCTGACACTTTTTTAATTAACATAGCGATAATTCTGTGAATAAGATGATGACAGGTCCAAACTAAACCTTGCTGTTGATGGGTTTGTGTGGGCCGCCACCTCCATTTATCCAGCGGGGCAACACATTCTCACTCCAGCTCGTCACATACGGACACCTTGTCAGACCCAGTTTAAAAATCAGGTGCTCTATCCGTCCACGTCTTCCCCAGTTTTTTTTGGAATCAAACCATGACGTTTGTGGCCACGAGCCATGGAGTCTAGGTAGATCCTGTAGGTGGATCAGGACTTTGGTTGATCTGCTTGTTGGATTTCAGACTTGTGGCTCTTGTGGTCCGACGGTGCTGGGTGTCGGACTGTGACGGGTCCGCCAGCTCCCACGGTTCAGTCCTGGACTCTGACAGACTCGCCGGTTGTCCTGGAGCAGCTCTGTTGGACGTTAGACTGGTGGGACTTGTGGTTTCATCTTAGACTCTGGTGTGTTGGACGTTTGCCGAGACCAGCTCTGGTTCTCTGATGGGTCTGGTGGCCCTCAATGTGAATCTGGATGCAACTGTCTCTGCAGCTCCTCTGCATTGTGGGCTAACATGATGCTCACCTTCCTCTGGTGGGCCAGAACCTCGTCCTTGTCATTCAGCTGCGGCAGGAAACACAGCGGCAATGACTAATGATAACGACTTCATGCATGATGACCTTTTACGAACTTTAGCTCAATAAAAAACTCTACCACAGAACAGCAATCGTCAGTCTGAAATGTGGTTTAGAGGTCATGCTTGAAGGTAGAAATTATGTTTTAGATCGCAAACAGGTGGATGATAAGTTACTGACACGTTCAAGAATACAGGAAGCTCTGTAATAGGACTTCCTGTAGGTCCACTTAAAGATGAGCATGCATGCTGATCATTGTTGAGCAATTGTCATTCGTGATAACACAATTTGGTGCAGTGAGCAAGGCGAGAAGACCACGCGGCCTGTGTACAGCGTCGGGGCATGACCCCTGGTTATCGTCGAGGCCTTCCAATAAGCATAAGCGGTGACTGCCAGTCCCCTGGAGCAGGGCGGCATTTCTCTGACTGTCGGGTCCAGTTGTGTGCCGAAATAGGCAGGGGGCTGTTCATGCTCACCTTTTTTGTTTCGTCAGGACAGCATTTGCAAATCCTTGTTTTTCAGCAAACAAGTAAAATGGTTTGGAGTAATGTTGGTTCATCAGTACTGGGGCACTGCATGGATCAGACTTTTTTTTTGAGTTAATTGAGCGGGAGACTAATAGTAATAATAATAATAATAATAATAGAAAAAAAGCATAATATGTATAAGCCAACAGTGAAAATAAAAATCAGAAATGACACTAGACATTGAGCATAGAGCACAATATAAATCAAATACAGTCCATTCAACGTTAATTTAAATCTCAACGGTCTAATGAAAAAAAAAAGACATTAAGAAGCGTTCCCATCCACGAGGAGAACAAAGAGTTGACTGTAGTGTGCTGAAGCCCGCTGTTGTTTCTAGCGTAGTAACCCCCGCCCCGTCTCCACTGCCTTCTTTTCATTTGCTGCTCTTTTCATCCCGCCTGTGTGCGCCGCATCCATACCAAGATCCTCTGACTTTATTCTCCACATGATCCTCGCAGCTTTCACCGGATCTAATAACATAATTGAGCTGGTAGCGCCTTCGAAAACACGGGACCAACACATCGCGTCTGACCGACAGCTGATCGGCGCTTTTTACGGTAAGTAATCGCTCGGTCTATGGGTTGTTTTTTTTTGTGGGTGATTTGTAGCGTGGCTCACATCCAAGCCTTTTATTCTCTCTGTCGGGCAGACGGACGTCGGTTCAAGGCAGCATTGTGGTGAAATGTCGGGGTGTCGGTCTTTAACTCTGAGCACAGATTTACAATCTCACCCGTCATCTCTTTTTTTTTTTTTTTATTCTTCTAGCCCATATTCATGTCGGGGCGCATTTTTTGGCGTCACCTTTTTTTGGCATCAGTTGAGCATCAAGCTGCCACAGTGTGAGAATGTTCTGGAAACAACCCGCCTGCAGGGCTTTTATTTTGTAGTGAATTATTTAGGATCTGCCGGCCTCACTTTCACTTTCAAACTAATTATACCATAAAACAAAGCAATAAGGCTAATTTAAAGTTTAAAGACTGTTCATGTGTGTGTGTGTGTGTGAGTGTGTGTGTGTGTGGAGTTGACGTGCCTCCCATGCTGATGCAGAGAGGAGCACAGACAGCCACAGTGCCCTGGTTTCACAGGGAGCTGCTTTTGGCCTTTTGTCTGTCTTTTCAAAGCTCCTCTAGCTCTCTTCCGTTCCCAAGTCCAGTCTGACCTCTTTTTTTGTTTTTGTTTGTTTGTCTCTCACCCTCCCGATTACAATGTTTTAAAAAACTCATCCGACACAGAAGCAGTGCCGACTCACTGAGGAAGTCCGTTTGCTGGCCTATCTCTGGGCCCTACTGAAAGGGCCAATGAAATAGGAGCTCAACCTGTCAGGTTGCTGAATTATTTAGGCTACATATTTATGCCTTGTCATCCATCAGTCATGTTGTCAGTCCTCTCCCCAGTGCCACCATGATGGCAGATGTGTGTGTTCATCGTTACTCTCCAACATGATACCAGGAGGATAAAAGCCCTACTTATCAATCATCAGCCATTTGCAGAAACCTTCTTCTAAATGATCTTGTAAAACTGGAGAGATTAAAGCCTCTCCTGTGGTAATGCCGGGGACCTTTGGACACTTGTACTATTTGGACGAGCCTGAAGCCAACCTCAATAAAGAGAGGGGGGGGGGGGACAAATCTTACAATTAGATACTAGTCATCAGCTGACAGTCACATTCAATGAGAATCATTTCAGCCCAGCAGGTGGAGGCTGAACCAATGAGGAGACAGACGAGGGTGAGATTTCTGAAAACAACACGGAGGGAAAGTGAAGGATTGCACTGGTGATATGAAGTGTGTACACATCCCAATACAGGAAGCATCAGGGGCCTCGGGAAGCTTTAAAGCCTCCAGCTTGTGACCTCTCTGTCCAGCATGAAAGACAGGTCCCACCTCTCGCACACACACACACACACACACACACAAACTGCTATATTTAGACTGACAGAGTGTGATATTGAATGGAGCCTGTGGGATTCAGTCTGACACACACTGAATTCATCAGTCTTTGTCAAACATTCAGCCCGCAGATGTGACATCAATATTAACATAACCCCAATAACACATCCACCCACATCTGTATTGCAGGCTTCAGTGTAACCTCTGCAGAACAATGCCCTGTAGGGCTTTTGTTGCGGTTGTGAGTGTCAAAATGACGAGCCACCTAATGATACACACACACACACACGTCACAACTCCTAGCTACAGCACGATAATTGGGTTTGTGTCATGGCCCAGTGATGGAGCTCATTCGTCCTAAAATGACTGTCGGCATCGTTTCAGAGAGCAGCTTGTTGTTTGAATACACACAGCAGAGAGCGATCCTGTAATGGATGTCAGTCTTGTGCGAGTGGGGAATTTTTAATATAGTGTGATGAGCCGAGCTGAGCCGAGGCCCTCCGGGGCAGGATTGTTATTTACATCATCTTGGGACCTTTTCAAAGCCAGAGCAGTCTGGTGCTCGGAAATCAAGTTGCTTTGAGTCTCGTTTCTCTCACAGCAGCTTCCAGCTGTTGTACGGCTTGTTTTTAATGAAAACAAACAAAAAAAGAAACACCCTGAAACACTTCTACACTGGTGGAAATCAGCTATTAGTTATTTTCAGAGCTGATGTCTGGGTCGGTTTGTGATTCATTGATTCACTTTCAACAAGTCTGTCTGAAAACCTTTGAATTCAAAAGCAGCACAGGCATCTTTTCCAGACTCACTATTTCGCACCAACATTCACACAGTGATAAAATCAACTGTACGAGATGCACTGAAGTGTCTCAAAGGACCAGAGTGCAAAGCAGTCAGATGACAAGAACAATATCATGAATATACATTATTTGTCAATTAAAGGTGCACAGCTGTGCTACTTCAGCTTTATGAAAATGCATTTTTTGAATGGTTTATTTATCTTCTGAAGTAAGAGATTTGTCTGAAGTAGCATTTAATCCTTCTGTTGATCTGGAATGTTCAAAGTCACCATATTTTAAGATGGCAGTGGACACAGCCACTATAAAGGAGCTTGTGTGTGTGTTGGCAAAAAAAACATCTGACCCGAAGTGCATTTCTAATTCCTCCCGCGATGATTGAAGGGAGCCAGTTTTCCCTCTTTGTATTCACTAAACCTTCGGTCGAACCAACAGTGTGATAGTCAGCAAGTAACAGAAAGCTTTCATCACTACATTGTCTACGTTTCCGGTATAATAATTCACTTATCTCTTTGAGTTACTGCAGGCGTTTGGGAAGAGGGCGTGACAGTAAGACAGGACAGGTAATAAATTAGACAAGCACCAAGCACACAGTTCAACTGCAACACATCAACAAGACTGGCCACAACAATTACACCTGCAGTGTTTGTCATCTTTGATGATGAATAAAACCCTTCTTTTCCTTTCCTCCCTTGCTCCTTCATTGCAGGGTATCGTTGCTCCACCTATAAGTCCTCCCCTCTGAACGTCTCCTCCGCCCTCTCACACACTCTTTGCCATGCAGGAGGTGTAACCCTCCTTCCTCCTCTTCCTTGCGCTCCATCGGAGGAGACCTGAAATAGAAAAAAAGAAAAAGAAAATCCCAACCTGTAACCAGTCAAGATGTCAGACCCCGCTGCCTCCTCGACGGCAGACCGCCCACTGCCGCTCACCTCCCCCCGAACCCCCCTGCAGCTCTCCTTCCCCTTCCTGAGGGAGGGCAGTCGGGTTTGGGAGAGGGAGAGGAAACCGCCGCAGCCCGGAGAGCTGCCCAGCCCGCTGCCCACCAAGCGCACCCGCACATACTCAGCGTGAGTGGAGATCCAAGCCATTATATCCTTTAAAAATAAAATTGTGTTCAATTATATTTACTTGTGATAGTAAGTTTAATAGTTAATAAATGCCCACAACCAGAATCCAGAGATACAAAACCTTCAAACCAATCCTAGACGTTCCTCTCTCTCCCTCTGATTCCATGTATGTCGCTCTTTCTCTGCAGGACAGTGCGAGCCAAATCAAGTCCGGTATATAAAGGGGTGTGTAAAAACTTCTCCAGGTCTCAGGGTCATGGATTCATACGCCCCTCCCACGGAGGAGAGGACATCTTCGTCCACATCTCTGAGTGAGTGGATTTGTTTTGTTCACGACATCGACTTGTCTTTGTGGAAGTTGGCCTTCTGTGCAGGTGAGTTCATGAATGAGTTCATCGTGTGTGTGTGTGTTTCCTGGACAGCATTGATGGAGAGTACGTGCCTATGGAAGGGGACGAGGTCACGTACAAGGTGTGCCCCATCCCTCCCAAGAACCAGAAGATCCAGGCTGTGGAGGTGGTGCTCACTCACCTGAATCCAGTCACCAAGCACGAGACCTGGTCAGGTCAGATCATCAGCTCCTAGACCACCCGCTCCAGGACAAGGAGGATTTGGATTTAGTTTTAGGTTTTATGTTTTTTCAAGGTGTGAGGTTTGGGTGGAGATTTTGGGAAGAGGGATCGGAGCTTGGTGTGCTGCGGAGTTCGGCCTGCGGTGGCAGGAAGTATGTCGGTGAAACGTTTGTTTGAGGTTTGGGAGGTCAAGCTTTGAATGTATTTGTCTGAATGTTTTCCTGTGACGGTCATCATGTTTTTATATAGGGTTTGAAAGTTAGGGTTCAGGGCTTGGTGGTAGATTTTTTTTTTACTTTGACCTGAGGAATATATTTTACCTGAGATCAGGGGTTGTTAGGGAAGCGATGTCGTCAATGAGCTGGGATGCTAGAGAGGCCGAATCACATTTTGAGCAAATCTGACTACAGTTCTGCTGCATAGACGCTTCATTTGCACACGACAGACAGGAGAGTTTAAGTTTCAAGCGACCAGCTCAATGGAGCTCTGAGCTTCAATCCCGCTTTTATTGTCCTTCTTTCTATAAGCCACCGACTGATGTAAACGACATGCCAGCACTGCCAAAAGTCATGTGACAAACATCCGATTGAAAAATGCACAATTTAGCCATGTTATGTTGTGTTTACAAAGACTAACGGAGATGGTTGAATCCCAGGAAAATTACATTGACAAAATTGCATTTTTCGTCTCTGTTGTTTATTATCAGGCTTAAAGGGACAGCTGCTGAGATCTGCCTTCATCTCACTGCCTTCAGAAAACAGAAACACTTTAAGGTGGCTTGAGGTACCACAAAAAGCCTGCTGGTACATGGCTGCCAAATGGAAACAATCAATGCACTTACAGCGTAAAGCAACTCTGACACAAATAGCTCTTAATGCGCTTCGGCCTCGAGAGCTGCGATAAGCTCTCTGAATAAGGAGTTATTTTCCTTCTTAATATTGTAGCACTACTCTATTTTGTCTACTCGGCAAGTGTAGAAATCCAGTATTATTGTAGCCATCTCCTATGACGGTCTTCAGTTCTGGTGGTAGAGACAGCAGCTGGATGACGTGTGGGCCTGCCACTGAGAAACCAGGCCAGAGGGTTTTTGGTTGGGGGAAGTAAAACTGCAGAGAGAGGACGGTCGGGGAACGGGCGGAGGATGGAGTGATTATCTGTAGATGCACTTGAGCAGTTAGATTTGAAGTGAAACAAAGCACGTGTAATCAGGAAGACCACGATTAAAGTCAAATAAGCCCATAAAGGAAATAAGAATCACCCATAAGATGTTAAAGAGGAGGGTCAAGCTGAGGAAGATAAATCGCTGATTTTTTTAGGTGGAAAGTGAAAACATGGGAAAGTCCAGTAAGTTTCATACGTCACGGCAAACGACTGTGAAAACAAAAACCGAAGGCTTCCTGATGTAAGTTTAAAAAGACTTTATTTATTGACTTATTTATTTTCATTTGTAACTATGAGACCATCAGGGTTTTGGTAATTAAAAGCTGCATTTATAAGTACTTGTGCAAAGTTAAATTTGAATACACTGCACACCTCACTCTAATGATACTACCCTGTTAATATCCCTTTGCTACTGTCATGTTATCATTGACACACAAAAAAAGTTTCTAATTTCTACATAATTCTTGTCTAATTTTTAATAACTGTGTGGTGTTCGAAATAACAAGCACGTTTGTTGTTTTGGAAATCGGGCATGTTCTGTACCTTTTTGCTGTGATTTCTTTTTTTTAAGCGTAGAATGCGTTGATTCTGTTTCATCATGCGGTAACGCAGCTGGAGCCTTCAGAGAGGCATCGTTAGGTCTCCCTTGCATCTTCGATGTGTCGCCATGCGTGTGAATTAACATATTAGCAACACACAGCATCCGTTTGTTTCCTCGCTGTGAGACAAACACGTTTGATTGTGTTCACAAGCACTTTTCATTTCTGTCAAATCACTGTAACATCGTCTTTTGTCATTAAGTTAAAGTTTGAATAAAACTTACTACTGGATTCACAGACCTGTGTGGAAACACTCTTTTGCTAAGTGCAGAGAATGTTCTGTGCTTTTTTTTTTTTGAGTTTAGCCTGTCTAGTCCTCACTGGTGTCGGTACAAAGTGGAATAACTAGGGCGGTTATTTTGAGAGCCCTCTGACAACGTTTCACTGTGAACTTTGTCTCAGTGCCTCAGACAGCTGTTTGGGATCTTAGAAAATGATCCTCATATGTCTCGTTTTGTCTCACTGGAGTCCGTTAGAGGGCGGACCAGCACAAATAATTTGCTAATTCTCATAATAATAATGATAATAAAGTACTCATAATACAGTCAAATGGACCCTGGTGTGTTTTAATATTGCTATATACTATATTATTGGATTATTATTACTGTTGAATTAATGTGAAAGGATGTTAGATAGGTCTAGGTTTAAATATGGGACCTCCCCCTTTTACTTCTCTTTTGTGGATAATGTTTATTATTGTAGTTGGAGAGATAAAAAGCAGTAAGAGAGTGATATACAATCTGCAAACAAGTCATTTTCCAATTTTATCAGTCGAGTCAGGCAGTTCTTCATTTCCCAGGTTTATTTATTGAGTATCAATGTGGAAAAGTACAAATTAACATCTAGCATGAGTTATTGTTTTGCTGATAATCCCAGGCATCCAGCGGACACGACACACACACACACACACACACACACACACACACACATGACTGGTCTGAATTATCTTTGATAGGACCAGGATCTGAAGTTAGAGGTAGTCAGTTCTTTAAAAAGCTTGATTTTAATGCTGTTTTGATTTTGTTCAAGCTCAGACACAGACATTCACATGCTGACAGACAGCGAAACAAACAGTGACTGAATGATTGAAAATTGAAAAGGTTATTGAATACACTAGAAAAAAAGAATACACTGAACAGTGTTGAAAGCTTTACAAGGAAACATAATAATTAGCCTGACACACCATAAAACTGAGCATGTTTCAGGTGTAATGACAAATCAATACAACAGGCAATGACAATGAAACGAATGAGGAGAGCAAACACAACGACAAGCATAATGACGCGGAAAAGATAGGACTTTGGTCAGATTCATACAAACAAGGCTTACATTTTCTTTTAATCGACCCATATCTTTTAAACCCGACGACTGCAGCCATATGTCACAGGGGCAAACACAAGTGTTTGAAGTGTTTTCATTTGCATCGCAAACATGGGATTTTTAAGGGTTTACGTCCCGTTTGGGCCAATCGGTGTGATCACAGACAAAACAACAAAGTCCTAAACAAGCCCATTACCATCCCAGAAACAGAGGAAATGTTAATCATCATATCAATAATAGTGAAACAATATGATGACAACAGGAGCAACACCAGTGGATAAATATATATGAAGAGAATTTAAGGAGCACATTTTTATTGATTTGTTCTACTTTTGTTTATTCTATCATTTTCCGTCACTACATTAGCAGACATTACAATGACAATGCAGACATTCTGAATATGAAGCAAAGCAAACATACACACACACACACACACACACACACACACACACACACACATACATACATAACATTTTTTTGCCAGGTTCAGGTTGGTTCCCTCGATGTCCCAGTGATAGATGAGGAACATTTCTGTCATTGAGGAAGCATGGGAAATCTGGTCACACTGATAGTTTTGAGTGTTTTTGTGTGTGTGTGTGTGTGTGTGTGTGTGTGTGTGTGTGTGTGTTAGGAGAGATAGAGAGACACACAGACAGAAGGTGCCTGGAGATATCCTCTGTGAGGTGATTGTTCCAAGTGATGAGCTGATAATGAATTCCTGTCATTAAATTGTGTGTACGTGTGTGCGCATGTGTGGCATTGATGTCATGCTCAAACCAAAGAGGTAGTACTGATTGAATGAGGACATTGTTAATTTATATCATTCAGTCTAACCCGGTCATGTATTATGGGGTGTTTGTGTGTTTGGTTCAGATAAACTGTACAAAAAGCCTCTGAACTGTTTCACAGCACGTTATCTGGGATGAGTTTTATGGCCCGACCAACCTTTGATCTTTTCCCCTTGCTTTTCTTTCCCCAGGCTGTCTTTCAGAAAATTTACAAGCTGTGTCTGTGTTTGCTGTCTGCCTGTCTCTGACACATACAGTGTGAGAACACACACACTCACACACACACATACAGTGGTTATAAAAAGGTCGCCACACCTGAATGAAGTGGCAGACGCAGTGGTCAGATTTGTTCTTCTGTTGTTGTGATCCGCCAACAAACCCGGCCTGGAAAAAAACAAGTAGCTGATTATTAGGATCATTTAGAATAAAACAAACTCCAACACCCTGATTGCTAAAGTCTGTACAGCCTTTTCAAATGGTGGCTCTCTATCTGTGCTCAGAATGAAGACAGCTGTTGCTGTAGGATTCTGCTGAGAGAGCCGTGGTCCACAAAGAGTTACCAAAGAAACGGCAAGATCTAATTGTTGCAAAGTGCCAATCACAGAGGGGCATGAAAGAATATTGAATGCATCGGGTGCACCATGAAGCATTATCAAAACCATTACCAGTAAGTGGAGACAATGTGGCACCACAGATACATTGCAGAGATCAGGACGACCCTATGAAGTTAATGAGAGGATGAGGAGAAAACTTTTCAGGGAGGCTCCCAAGAGGCCAACAGCAACATTAAGAGAGGGATTTCTGGTACTTGTCACTCCTAGCATGGGACCAACATCTCCAATATTCTGCACATGTCGAGGCTCTGGGGGTAGGGAGGCGAAACAGAATCCTTTCCTCACATAAAGGACCATCCAAGCCCATCTGAATTATGCCAAAAGACTCATTCAGTCAACCCCAAACCATGTGGCAAAATGTGTTATGGTCTGACGACACAAAGGTTGAACTTTTTCTCAGGCAAAGTTTGAAATGCATAGATATGTAAATTGATGCAGAGCTTCACTAAATCCCGGTATGAAACAACAAGTGTATTTAGATAGAAATGTCAGTGTTGTAAATTCCTTCTGTGCTCACTAAGGAGCAACATGACTCATTTACGGTAGGGGAAACGAGTGCAAGGTCTCGCCATCAACCCTGCTGGTAAAGGTCAGTGCTTATCTGACATCAAATATCTAGTTATCGTATCTTTCACTAGCTGAACCAGCATGAGGTCATTATTGGTAAAATGCTGATATCACCAACAAGCTCGCAACCAGCTACAATCTGTGCTCTGTGTGTTTGTAGCTTGTAATTCACACAGACCTTGGCAAGACAACAGTGAGAAGCTTATATGGCCCGCCTCTGTGCCTTTAAAAGGTTGTATATTAACAACTCTATGTGGAAAGGACAGGTGAGCAGCCATAGAGAGATTGTGAATGTGAACAACTCCGAGAAGAACGCAGACAAGGACTCAGCACCTGGATGTTGCTCTTGTAAATTCAACTTTCCGTTGTGGATCAGACAGCAACAAACAAAAGTTAAGAGGAAGTTCTTGGAGTGTTTGGTGACCTAACTGCACTACAGATGCGCTGAGCTCTGGAAGAGAAGAAGGGAAAAAGACGATCACGAAAGCCTTTAGCAGATCATGGACTCTCTTTAACAGCTCAAAAACTTCAGAGCTGAAAATGGGAACAGGATGGTGGTGGTTGTGCGTCTTGGGGGTTGTTGCTGCTCCGTGTCGGAGCATTAAAGAGTGTCTGGATGGGATTACAATCAATGTGATCCTGCTGGAAGATGAAGAGTCTCCCTGGAGTCTGAGGTATGTGAAGGACGAAATACTGGAGGCCATTGAGACGGACTCAGCCATTAATGCTGCAGAAGGTAATGAAGTATAAAAATACTGAGGAAAAAAATTAACCTTCCAAACTCTTTATAGACACATTATTGCGCTCATTACATCAAAACAGTCCCATCCACACACTTCAACATGCAGATCATCCAAAGCTTGAAAGACCTGCTGTGTGTGTCTATGGTTTCTAAACTATGACAAATGCTGTTTGGAGAAGAGATTTAACGAACGAAGGACACTCATAATTCAGTTTTTTTTTAGAGACAGGGTTTAATCTCACGGCTAAATTTGGCGGGTTCAGACCGACCTTCTATCGACAAAGAGGCTGCCGGAGCAGCGCGTGTGAGGGAGTGGACGAGCTAAAGAGCCTGATTGTAAGTAAAAATCTTCATCCAACTTAGACTCATGATAATGACATACTTGCTTTTTTAACATGTCGGCATAGACTTACCCGTGTGCTTAGTGGGTACCTTGAGGATTAACAGCTACATCCACTAGGGGTCAGACCAGAGGCTACACCATTCTGATCTTGTACAACGTAAACAGCTAAAGAGCCACTCCAAAGAGCTACTACAGTGTTAATTCTAAATGTTGTGTTTGTTTAAAGCCTGTTGCTCACTTAATTGCAATTTGTGGACACATACAGTTAATTTGTGAACACGTGTTTACTATCACATGGAGTTAATAGCAAGTACAACAGCAGGCCTAGTGAGCTGTGCACACAAATGTGAAACAAACAGCCACACTGACGGACAAAAAAACTCAAGCTCATTTGTATTCCCTTGCAGAACGAAGGCTCCCTGGGATGTGCCGTGCTTGGTCCCACCTGCACCTACGCTACTTTCCAAATGTTTGAGTAAGTGCATTTGTTTCCAAGCTCAACTCCACATTAGTGCAAATATATTTAAAAAAACATTCTTTCCATATTGAAACAGTGTTTGACTTGTATAAATATGGTAAAGGACAGTGCATGTGGGATCTATACTCTTAAACACATTAGGTGGATCCACCTTACCATTGTTTACCTCCATGTATGCGTCATTCTCCTTGTTTCTCTCTCTGTCAGCGGGGAAAGAGGTCTGAAGCTCAGCACGCCCATCATCTCGGCGGGAAGCTTTGGACTCTCCTGCGACTACACGCGCAACCTGCAGCGCCTCTTGCCGCCGGCGCGCAAGATCTCTGACTTTTTCGTCAACTTCTGGGAAGACGAGAACAAGCTCAAACCCGAATGGGAGACGACCTATGTTTACAAGAAACAGAGCAACACTGAGGATTGCTTCTGGTGAGTCACCAAGAGAAGTCCTAAAAGAGTACAGTGGAGGTGCTGTTTGGGATCAACCTTGCACCTACATTTTGCTGCGTGTGTGGCCAGCAGTCTTTATATGAGGGAGACGCATAGGTTATGGCATGTGTGTTGAATTGATATAATACACATCTGTTCTATTAAGTGATGCTATTCCCCAGGTATATTAATGCACTGGATGAAGCCTCGAGCAACTTTGCCCAACGTATTCAGAGAACGGTGCTGCGCAGACCAGATGACCTGAAAAACGTACTGGCGCCCAAAAACAGGACAAGCAACCGTAAGACTTTTCTTTAAAAAGTGTACAATACATCCTCGTGTCTGATTCAACTGCAGTATTTGAGTAGTACTGATACAGGAGTGTGGTCAGGGTTGCCAACTCTCAGGCTTTTGGCTTGAGAGACCAATTTCTTGAAATGTCCTTCCCCTCCCCAATACAATGGAGGTGTATGGGATTTAATTTGTGCAGCTCGCAGCATTAAATACTTTATATACTTATATAGTCGTATAATGAGGGATCATCTCTCTCCAGTATTAGTGGCCAATATAATGGAGATAAATGGATAATCCACGGGTCACACTGACAACAGTTTGACTTTGCCCTCCATATTGTATTTGGGTTGAGGCAAAAACCTCAGAGATGAGTATCTCAAAACCTGGACAAATAAACTGCAGCATTTAATAGTGGAGGGGACAAATTGGACGCAGGACAAATTATGTCCCAACAACCATTGAGACCTGTGATATAACCTGGGAGGGATACTGTTCGATATGAATGTTAACTTGTGCACATACCATAGCTTTTTGTTTCTCATTCATGCATCTTGGGTTTTGGTATTTTGGAGTCTCGTGGTTCAAGCCAGAGGGATGAACAGAGCGTTTGACGCCCTCCAAGGCTACTATGTAAAAAAAAAAAAAAAATGCATACACTACTGTTCTGTGGTGTGACATACAGCTTCTTTGTTTGCAGTGTTTATCATGTGTGGATCACCACTGGACGTAGTGGAGGCGAAAACAGGCTCAAAAGAGGCAGACAACAGCGATATTCTCTTCATCCTTATTGATCTTTACAAGTCAGTGCTCTTGATTCGTTCGTTCAATCTCTTTTTTTCCATCTGTGACTTGTTTCTGATCTTGGTTCTTTCTGCAGGTGTTTGAGCTGTAAACATGTTTGCACTTATTACACTGTTTGGTTACAAATGGCTCTTTTCATTCCCACACCCTTCTTTGAGATATAGTACACATGACAAGCAATTATCATCGCACGCTTCATCGACGATTCTGTTCATACTGATGTGTATCCTCTATTCATTTTTTCGTTATCTCTTGGAGTTTGGCCGTGCACGTACAGCCCTTAAAATATCGCCTCCCCTGCCTCCTCTCCACAGTGATCAATACTACACCAACACATCGTCGATGCCATCCATGAAGAACGTGCTGGTGCTGACTATGCCCAACACCAGAAACTACAGGATCAACGCGGACCTGAAAGACAACGACACGGTGAGGACACCATTTCCAAATGACTCAACTCCCTTCTTCCTTTTACTGCTGTTTAAAGGAGTAGTTTGACATTTTGGGAAATACGCTTTCATTGCCTCTTTGCATCTATACTGTAACTCTCAGCAATCAAACAGGAAGTTACGGTCAGGAGATGGTTAGCTTAGCTTAGCATTAAGGATCTGTTTGATCTTTAAACATATGAAAAGTGTCCTTTTTCAGGGGTTATGTGGGACCTGCCGAGTGACTTCCTGGATTCTTATAGCAACTCTGCTATAGTTGCACTTTATCTCACTCTAGGAAAGTCATAGGTAATGGTCATAGATGGCAACATCTCTCTCCAGCATCAGTGTTCCCATTCCTCTGAATAATCTACAGAGCAGTTGTTCTTATAGTGACTATTATTCTAGAGAGTATAGTTTCAATCATCAATTTTTCTCTCTCTGTCTCTGTTTCTCTGCAGATGAATGATTACATGGCCGCGTACCATGATTCAGTGCTGCTGATAGGCGAGGTGATGAGGAAAATTGCTAAAAAACCTCAGTCAGCGATTCAGCAGATGGAGTTTGCTGATGTGAATAACTTCAGAAACATCTCCTTTAATGGTAAGGAAAGAGGGAGAGATAGTGGGAGGAAGGGAGAGAGGAACTGAACCTGTAACGTACTTAACATTCCTGCCTGCAGTCAGTATGGTTGTGATGTTGAATAAATCATTTTGGATCAATTTCTGGGAAGAGACAAAAACACTTTGATAAAAGAAACCAAAGAGGAAATAGATGTATTTGGTAGAGGGATAAGTGGAAATGCATTGATGAACAGAGACCAGACAAGGCTGTAGAGATGATTTTTGAAATACTGAAGCCATCATTCAAATTTTAATTTTTCAAACACTTTGGTTTAAGACTAAATATCTGCTAAACTAAAGACGTTCCCATCAGTCTCACCTTTACTTTGTGTTTAGTGCTAATTAGCAAACATTCGCATGCTGACACGCTAAACTGGTGAACAAGAAAATATACTTGCTGAACATTATCATGTTAGTATTCTCATAATACTGCAGGAGTGACTGCTGAAATGGGTTTTTGTTAGATCCCTGAAATCAGGTCTGTTCAGTCTATGGTCTGTGGTTAACAAAAGGGATTTGAATGTTTTGTTCTACGATATAAAATACATCAGTAAATACCCCTCTCGTAAATTTGGAAGCTTTTATGCGTCTTAAAAAAAGACTAAATGGGAGTATGAGACGTCATCACGCTGATCGGTCCGCCTTTACAGCCTTGTTGCGTATACATGTGCTCATGCGACCGAGGTGTAGTTTGTTTATAGCCTAACGTTAGCTTTTTATTTCTGCCGATTGCAAGTGTAAGTGGTGCTCATTTGTGAAAATGATCTTGCTGAACAAAATGTGTAAGTATCATAAACTTGTGTTTGCCACAGAGTTCATATTCGGCAATCATCCAAAATCGAATGGAAAAATCCCATTGGCTTTTTGTCGCGAGAACTAGTGAGATGCTAACTTCCTGGGTGGGCCTACAAAAATACATCATCCCTGCAGAACTCTGTGTGCATATATTAGCATGTTAATGTTAGCATTTAGCACAGCCTCACGGGGTAGCTGTGGACTCCTAGGTCTGGTTTAATTGGCCTAAAAGTTCTCAACATATGCATCTATAAATACTGGAAACAGCTCATGAAGTACCCACAAGGTGCGAGGTTGTAGTTGCTGAAAACCCCCAAACGTCCATTGAACATACTGACGACAGGACCTCACAGTTGACATTGGTTATGGTCTTGTGTGAGGCCCAACAGATGGAAGCTGCCAACTGCTGTCACTTATTTGTATTTCTCACTGACAAGAAGAAGCGATGAGGTGCTATAGCTTGCAGGCAGCAGCTGTAAGTAGCCTGTGTGTAATTGGGGGTGAGCGTGTGATTAATAACAGACACACTCAAAGAGAAGCTGTCCTTTCTGTTAGGCTCTTTTTTCTTTCTCAAATGACAGAAAAAAAAAAAATATTAAAAATCGAATGAGTCGTCTGTACACTAGTTTACAGTAGGAGACTAAACTGTTGCGGTGTGTCTGCCATATGTTTGTGTATAAAGACGTTTCTATGGTTCTTCTCAGGAAGTGCCGGAAACTACAAGCTGGACGAGCATGGAGACAGAGACGTGAATCTCTCAGTCATTTACACCACAAATGACAACAAGGTACACTTGTTCATCATTATGCCGTTTAGCAGTGAATATTAAAAGAAACACAGATCTCTTCTACATTCTTTAGTAATTAAACCTCTGCGTGCTGAATCTCTTACTGTCATACCGTGTTTTACTCTGAAATTTGTAAATGTCTCCTCTCTTGTGATCCGCAGTACCGAATTTTATTCACATTCGACACCGAGCACAATGTTGCGAAAGTGGTTGAGACGGACCCTTCCTTCATCTGGGGAGCGACACTTCCTAATTCCAGACCAGAGGAAGGTACGGTGTAGGTGACGGTGTTTATTGACCATTGGCTGTTTATTACTGTCAGTAAGATGAGATTTCAGTGTGCAGATGTGTTGTAAAGAGTGAAACGTTTTATTCCTTTTCTCTAAGCTGAAGTGGAAATCTCACATGTGCACAATAAACAAAATTTCAGGATATAATACAAGATAAAGGTTTTCTTCACATGAATATTCTATACTTGAGTAAAGTCCGTCAAGACATACGTACCTGTACGATGCCCTAGATGAGTCTGGGTTTGCTATAATAAACAATGTTTTTTTTGTTTGTTTAATATGTGCTCACTCCTTTAGGCCCGGCATATTATAACATCATTGTCATTGTGTTGGCTGTTACCGTGGTTGTGGTGGCCACCATCGCCTTCATTTTCTACAGGTAAGTCGCAGACCAGACGGGCAGATGTGTGCGGTAAATGATTGAATGAACAAAGAACTCACAAATCCGAGAGTCCGAAATCAGGCGTGTGACAGACAGGCAGGTAGGTAACAAGCAAACGAAAACTCCATGTCATGGGGTAGGATGAGCTGATAAACAGCAAAGGAACAGAGAAGGTAAACAACAACAAAAAAGTGTGCGGAGTGGGAGAGTGTGGGAACTGCTGAGCAGGAGGTCTGGCAACTGCAGGGCTGACAAGAGACAGGTGGAGCTAATCAGGGCGGGGCAGACAATCAAAAAAGGCGGGAAAATGCGCATTGTACCACTGTATTCATGGCAATGTTAGCTGCATGCTTGAAATACATGAAGTATGGAAGTGAACACTGACACATTCGTTTTTTTTTACCATTGTTGAACTACAAAGCTATCAGGCTCAGTATTTGATATATATATATATATGGATGCTTTAATCTCAAAGGACATAATGTGAAAGATTTTTGATTGCTTTTACATGTATAATGTCTTCTATCTATTTATAACAGCTCTTATGGATGGATGTAAATACAGTTGCTATGCATGAGTTGTTTTTTTTTCAAATGACAGTTTTCTGGATCTCTTGAAAGACCTTTTTGTGACCAGCCTGAAGGGTTAGGGTTAGTTTTTGTGTACAATATAAAATTGGGAGCTAAACAAGGGTGAGCAGATATTGAAAGTGCGCATCTTGGGTGCTCATGGATGTGGATCCCTATGCTACGTTTAGCATTTAATGATGTGTTGGTGTTTTTTCCCCCCGTGTAGACAGAATAAGAGAGAACGCCGGATCAAGATGCGCTGGTTCCACATCTCCTCTGATCTCGTCACACTGCTGGAGAAAGACCAGCTCAATGTCATCTCTCTGAAGGTAAATGAAGCGCAAACCTCTCCGTCAGCATGGAGGCTCCTTTTCAACACACTCTTAACTTGTCCTGCAGTCAGAAATCTATGATCAAATGACCTTGTTCTCGAACATGAATGCACTACAGCGCACGATGAAATAAAATAAAGGAGTTTGGACACGTTTGCTCTGTTAACTTTGTCCTCCATCTGCCCCCGTCAGATTGAAGACGAGAGGAAAATCATGCAATTCCAGATCCGCCGTGCGCTCTACGATAAGAAGGTATAGCCGGACACAACAGTAGTTTTTCTAATCAATCAACATGCTTTCGCACATGTAGATTTGATCGCTGGTGTGATTGATGATGCTGCGATTGTTTTCAGATTGTGATTCTGAAGGAGCTGGAGTACTCAGATGAGGATGTTACCCGGATGATAGAACTTAACGCGGTAAAACACACACACACAGCAGGTGGTTTGTGTGATGTCAGCATTTTACTGATTCATTGTCATTATGCTTCCAGTCCTGTGTTTGTGGGTGTGCCAATCCTGTGTTAATGTTTTTTTCCAAGCCAGACCACTTAAAGAGCTTCTGTTTCGTCTTTTCTCTGCAGCTCAAGCAAATCGACTATTACAACCTCACAAAGTTTTATGGCACAGTGAAGATTGATAAGGGTGTGTTTGGGGTGTTCGAGTATGGAGAGAGGGGGTCGCTCAGGGTACGTACGGCAGGCTCACCTGCAGCTCAAGTCCATTCAGGTTTGAATGGAAGTTTAGTTTGCACATATCAAATCACTACTTTGATTCACAAGTCATTGTAGCTCAGTACAGGACAAGCAAAAAAATTATGAAATAATGCAATAATTTCACCAGATTTCTTGTCCCTTCCCTCTTCCAGTATGTGCTGAATGACAAGGTTTCGTACCCAGAGGAGACCTTCATGGACTGGGAGTTCAAGATCTCCGTCATGTACGACATCGCCACGGTAAGACAGAAACTCTGCTGACAAACTGCTACTTGTGGCACACTTGTTGAAAGCACTTACTTATGTATCTATACGCAGTTATCTACAATAGACACATCATTCAAAACTATAAGCCAGCATGTGTCGTTTGCTAAACACCTTCAATTTAAATACCACACTCGATTATCAATCACCTGCAATCAGAGAGCACCTGTGGAAACACCTGCAACCAATTAGAGTTTTAGTTTTAGAAATTGTGTTCTAGCAATTGGAAAACAGAATCTGTAATGCAATCAGTTATTACCGGTTGTTACTTCCTAAATTGTAATTTTATTACTTTTGCATTTCCTGAATATGTATTTTTGACATAAACATGTATTAAGAAAAGTGGACCTAAACCGATTTAAAAACTTGACTATTACATTTAAATCATAATGGGAATATTTAACTCATTCCTCTCTGATGGATTTATTACACCATGAGTTCCTTTTTTATTTATTAATCTGAATCAAAAAATAAAAGTACATGGTTTTCCTGACATATATTATAAGAAGCATAATACAGTAGTACTGTAAACTGTATACAGAATGTATCGCAACTTCTTCATTAATAATATTCTGATTAAATCATATTGTGGAGGGTTTATAAGGTTCATATCCAGCTGAATGTTTTAGTTAAGACTTGAAGACGTGTTGTTGCTGTTCCCCCTGACAGCCAGCAGAGGTCAGTAGAGCTCACCGATGATTGACTGCTCCTTCAATCTAAACCCTCTGGTGTGTGATTCCTCTGTTTCAGGGCATGTCCTATCTCCACGCCAGTCACATCCAGGTGCATGGTCGCCTCAAGTCCACCAACTGTGTGGTGGACAACCGCATGGTGGTGAAGATCACGGACTTTGGCTGCAATAGCTTTCTCAGCGCCGGCAAAGGTACAGCAACAGTGCGTCTGCTCCCTCGCTGACTTTTTATGGTCAATCTCATCACTTTCTCACATTCCCCTTCCTCTCCCTCTCTCTCTCTCTCTCCTCTTCCTCCTCTTCAGACTTGTGGACCGCTCCGGAGCACCTGAGGAGACACGGCACCTCTCAGAAAGGAGACGTGTACAGCTTTGCCATCATCGCTCACGAGATCGTTCTCAGAAAGTGCACCTTCTACACCGAGGGCTGCTCCGAGCGAGCAGGTGCGACACGCTTACACAACCGCTGTCCCAAAAGTGAAGCCCTCACACTCACACGTTGAACTCCTGAAAACCAAAAGAATGAAGAAAGTTATTACTCATCTTAAGGGACTGTGTGAAAATGATTGAGATGTTTGCTGTGATACACACACTCAGTAATATTGTAAGTAACTTTGTGGGGAATTAATTCATTCATAATGTGTGTGCACACAGAAAAGCTTGCAAAGGTCATCATGTCCTACTTCAGACCTGATCTTAACTTTGAGACGGCTTCGGAGAAAGAATTAGAGGTGAGTTGATGCTGGTCGTGTGCCAACTTCATCTGCCATCCTGTGTGTCTGCAGTATAAAGCTTTGTGTCCTCCGTCTCCTAGGTGTACATGTTGATAAAGACCTGTTGGGACGAGGATCCAGAAAAAAGACCTGACTTCAAGAGGATAGAATCCTGTCTGGGGAAAATAATCAGGTAATCGCTGTCTTTAGTTTAGCGGGTTCTCGCTGCCGTTTTAACCTCTAGAAGATCTGAGAAATGTATCACGTTTTTGAAGTTTGTTTTCTTGAAAGTTAATGTTTTTTTCCACCCTTCCCTTCCTTCATCCTCCTCTTCTGTTGTCCTTTCAGTAAAATTCATAACCAGGACAATGAGAGCTACATGGACAACATGATAAGAAGACTGCAGATGTACTCCAGGAACCTGGAGCGCCTGGTGGAGGAGAGAACGACCCTCTACAAAGCCGAGCGGGACAGAGCAGACTGCCTCAACTACATGCTGCTTCCCGGGTCTGTTAAGGATCACACCGCATTTTAGACACACTGTTCTGTTAACACAGATTATACAAGAACAAATACATCCTACCTGAAAGGTATAGCCCACATGGGCCAAGTCTGGCAACACTTTGTTGGGGTACATCTGAAGTAAAGCCATATGCATCATCGTGTTTCCTCTGCGTTGGTGTCTTTCTGTGCAGCCCGGCAGTGAAAAGTCTGAAGGAGACTGGTGCGGTGGAGCCAGAGCTGTACGAGGAGGTGACAATATACTTCAGCGACATCGTCGGTTTCACCACCCTGTGCCAGTACAGCACACCGATGGAAGTCGTGGACATGCTCAACGACATCTACGGGGGCTTCGACAGCATCGTGGACCACCACGATGTGTACAAGGTATTGTAATTCAATGGCTAGGCAAATATAGGTGGACAGTGCAGACACCCATCATGTGTTCCGTTCCCACACTCAGGTGGAGACGATCGGCGACGCCTACATGGTGGCCTCCGGGCTCCCAAACCGAAATGGGAACAGGCACGCGGTGGACATCTGCCGCATGGCGCTGGAGATCTTGGCGTTCATCGGTAACTTCCAGCTCCGACACCTGCCGGGTATCCCGGTGTGGATACGCATCGGCGTTCACTCAGGTAGACGGCACTAAACTCTGGACTGTGCTTAAAGCATTAACACAAATGGAAGTGAACGCTTTAAATTGTCTGTCTGTTGTCCTAAATGCAGTGTGAGGCCTCAACCTTTAAATTGCTTTAAGGGTTCATTATCGGCCTTTAAAGTGCAACCATTCCCCGATTCCTTCTGAAATCTCCACTTCCTTTGATCTGTCCACTCATCTCCTTTTATCTTGTAAACCGTTACAAACTGATGCGTGTGCCCAGGTCCCTGTGCTGCAGGTGTCGTGGGGATAAAGATGCCCAGATACTGCTTATTTGGAGACACGGTCAACACGGCATCTCGCATGGAGTCTTCTGGACACCGTGAGTGGAGAAATTAAAAACACGCATTCATGCTGCCATCTAGTGTGGTCCAGTTCCGTACGGCTAATCCCTCCCGTGCATTTACAGAAGCTACCTAATGAAATCAATTCACCACAGCCAAGCTTTGGCAAAAAACAGACGCCTGTTGTTTTTTTTTATCTTTAATATCCTCCAGCCCTGCGGATCCACGTCAGTCAGCCAACTATAAATATCCTGCAGAGGACATACTGCAAGTTTGAGTATGAGGTCAGAGGAGAAACGTATCTGAAGGTAAAGATGGGCCTCTTTACATTTACGAAACATGTCGGACAGATGAACCATTTTTAAACAGAACCTAGAAACACTCATTTTTTGCAGAAAGCATCGAGTGAAGTGTGGGTGTCGGCAGACTTTGATGGAAAAATGGTGTGAATGTGTGTTTTTTTTTTTCAAGGGTAAAGGCACAGAGACAACCTACTGGTTGACAGGCGAGACGGGCGAAGACTACGACCTCCCAACCCCGCCCACAACGTAAGTAAACCCGCCACCTGCTGAAAGGTATTCCCCCCCCAAATACTTCTTTTAACCTGTATCAGGCCTGATGATCATTTTGCAAAAATTCAATCAGCAAAGTGTTTTTTTTGTAGCCAGTACTGTAAAGCTGTTTTTCACTGTTCATGCACCGGTTCCTGCTTTTCCAGTGAGAACTTCCAGCGGCTCCAGCAGGACCTCGCCAACATGATCCTGATGTGTCTGGAGCGGCGCTCTCGGGGCTCCATCCGGAGGAAGAAGCCGCTGTCGAGTCAGAGCAAGGAGGACGACGAGGACCGGGAATCAGAGGTGGAGTCTGAGAGCGACCACCACCCCGAGTACCTGCACCTGGCCACCGTGGATAACACCCTCAGTACATTCCTGTAGCACATACCTATACTGTAGAGTGCATTACTGTCCCAGTCATCCCTGTCTGTTAGTACACTACTCAGTAAGACTGGGCAAGGCAGAGTGACTGGTGACTGGTTTTAAGTCCACCAAGCAGAGATTATAATTGATCAGTTCCATCCATTCGAGGCTAAACTGAGGCTCTGATGAGCGTTAATGTCCAGACTACATCCAAGTAGTGTTAACATACATGTGGACCTTTCAACTGCATATATCTTGTCAGGTTCATTGATAGTTTAAATATGCAATTTACTGCTTAGTCAAAACACTTACTTGTGTGAATCATATTTTATGAGAGGTGCTATATTAAATCAATGCGTTATTGTTATTATAACAAGTGTTAGATTTGGTTTAAATCTATAGATATGATTAATCACATGTATGCTTTGAGCATGAATAGCCCATCAGACACAAGGATTAAACCTGCTGTAATGTAAAGCATGCTTTCATTCTTTTACTTTATATTCACGTGTGTTTCATAATCAAGTCATATGACTGGAGACTTTTGTGTCTCTGTGGTCAAAATATTTCAACCTCTGAGATTACTGCGAGATGATTTACTGCACTGTTGTAACGGTCGTCTGTATAACCAGCTTTATTTCAGACGTGTCACTAGATACCGGTGGACACCGACATGAGGCCTCGTCACGGTTATGTCTGCCTCGGAAAAAATGAGATTTTCAAATCTGTATTTTAAAACAAAGGACAAAGATTTATTTTGTTGAGAATGGTGACATTCATTTACTTTAAATAAAAAAAAATCCCCTCCTGTCCCATTGTTGTCAAAATGTGTGTTCAGGTGAAAAAACAAAGTTAAATGAAATCAAAACACAGCGTTTCTTGAAGCCTGTTCAGGTTCATCTGAGGCGTTACAATGCGTGTGTCACATTGTTGTATGTGTACTGAGGACAGAAGAAGAAAACAGAAAAACTCCAGCATCAGATTAAAATAGTTTTCTATCCACAGCTGCCTTTTTTTTTTTTGCACAGAACAATGAAAGAAGACCGCTGAGTAGATGTTTACACATCAAATGCAAAGTGGGAACACACTATTGTACAGCAGAAACAACTCAACACATACAGTGTGCCAATATGAAAGTGAAGAGTGGATCCAGCTAAACAAACAAGGAAACTGGACATGCACGTGTGTGTTTATAAAACTGACCTCATGGTAACACATTGTGAGCTAAAACTCAAAACTAGTGTATTTAATAAACCTGATGAAAATCAAGTCGGTCAAAAATAAAAGCGAGTCGACGAGTAGAAAAAAGAAAATAAGTCACCCATAGACCCCCTCCTGCCCCCCCCCCACACACACACACTTAAAAAAAATATTTTTGACCGTGTAACATTCGTAAAAGAAACAGCGAGAATAAATTAGATAACTGAACATACAAAAATAAATGAAAAAGGCTTTTTATACAAAAGCGCTTGAGCGTTCTGCAACAGCTGCATGGAAACAGCTTCACCGCATACACGCAGCAGCCTGTGCTCTCTGTGCTTTCTGTGTCTCTACTCTAACACTTTATGAAAAATGTAATTCTCAGAACGAACAAACATGCACTGGAAGAAATTTACACAAACACCAAACCTGGACTCTCAGTGAGACTGTAAACTACCCATTCGCTGACTAAAATATTAAAACGCATATTAAAAACGAACGCATGTAATAACATTGAAACATGTCGGTTGTTTGACGTGTCAGTGTTGCTGCTTAAACTCAAGGCACCGAATGGCCCGTGTTAAGAAGAGCCACAAGGGAAAGCTGAAGTGACAAAACAATAAACAGTCTTCTTCTTCCTGCTCGTGTCACGGTTATGATTATCATAAGCTTGATGTGTGACGTCACCATTCTAACATCTATTGTGTACTCTGCTCATCCGGCTAATAAAGTATTTATTGCGAGGAGCCTTACATGTCCGGGACATCGGTTTCTATTTTACACTTTAAATGGACGAGACACTTTATCTCACGCACGCACCCTCAAACACACACAATGTCGTATTTGCGGCCTGTTTTTTTCTTTAGATTTAATTATCAAAATGTTATCAAAAAGAGTCGCCGACTATGATCTTAATTCTTGATTGTCTCAAGTTGAAACTCGAACTGCTTAATGTCTGTATAAAGCAGCCCGAGTGCGTTTCCATACTACGTGTTGCTGGTCAGACAGTGTTACACAGGAGCTAAACAGCAGGGGGGGGGGAGAGCCATATTGCCAACCCTAAGGACAGCTGTACATGATGTTGGAATGCTGCTAACCATCTTATCTAGACAGCTGCTGGCTCGTATAGCTAACTTCAATTTGGAATCTCAGCTGGGTTAGATATGTTGTAGTGTTTGTATTGTTGTTGTTTTTGGCCCCTACCGCTGCAGATGAACTCAATTATTTTGAGTTATTTATGCCTCCAAGAAATGCTTCAAGCGAAACCCCAATTCTTGCCGCTTCCATCAGCATCTGTCCGACAATGAGTTTTCTATGTTTTATGTGGTTAAATGTTTTCTGACAAGCTACGCCATGACTCTCGTAGATGTGTTCCCGGCTAGAAGCGCGTTTCGAGTAATAACGCCCGGTTATTTCCCAGCATTCAACCACCACACCTCCAGCGTTTCCAGTAAATGTGCTGTTGAAACCTTGTGAATTAATTTCATGACACAGCATTATAAAAACGGTCGGGGGGGTTGCGTGCCACAGACTTGTGCAGGGGATACGACTTTGATCCGTGGTGCAGTTCCTACAAGTTGCCAACAGAGGCTGTTAAAAGTCCGGCCTGATCCAACTGCTTCTCAAACCCCCTTTTCAATCACACACCTGCACTGCGGCAGATCTGCTGCTCCTTATTTCACAGGCAAAGATGACGACAAAATACATTATGTGACTATCACCCCCCCTCCCCCTCCTCTCTCCCTCTTGCCCTCTACCCTTCTCTGTTACAGCCTTTTCCGACAGCTCTCTGTCAGCTGGTTCCAAAGCTGGCTGTGGATCTCAGCCAAGGCGACAGACTAAGACGACGACGACGCTGCTGCTGCACCGGCACAAGCTGCTGCAGGTGTGTATCAGCGCGCGACAGGGTGTTGGTGCAGGGGGATAATGTAGAGCAGCGTGTGTGTTTGTGCAGGTGCAGTGAGCGTACCGCTGGCTGGCTCTTAGTGTGAGCTCTGTTGGATGACCGTTTCTGTCTGGACCCGGATGAAACCTGTGTGAAACCTAACTCTGATGGTTTGCAAATAACTCGCCCTGCATGCTGATAGGCCCGGGTCGACGCACCCGACGCAACACAGAACCGAAGGCACACTGACTCACATTCGAGGCCATCTCTAAATAGATACAAAAGCAAGCTTTCGTAGGCTTTGTATCTGCTCCTGTGGAGTCCGCGCACAATGAGATCAAACCGCCCAAAAATGAAATGACCATCATTATTTCTCACAAGCTTCACGACCACGTAAAGTTGCCGCTGGCTAAATATGTTAGCGGGTCAACAGCAAGTTGGATCCCTTCTGTGTATGGTTTGTTTCCCGGCCGAAGGGGATCAAGTGCAAACTAAATGACGACGGTGTTGTGTTAACATTAGAAAACGTAATAATCCAAAGACGCGCCACGCAGATCCGATCCTTTCACGTCCTTTGTCAGATCACGGCTCCTCACCGGGTAACGAAGACAAGACGATGTTTTCTTGTGTCATGGTCGGGTTCAGCACCGTGGTTCAGCTTTAATCTGGATCTTTGGTTAGAATTTACTAAGCTCCACTACTGCCCTTGGCAATATGACGTTCGCACACATGTTTAATTCTACTGATTAAATTAGTTTCACTGGAAGCTATTTTGGAAGATCTTGCTGTGCCTGACTGGGATATTTAGGATTTGTTTAGTTATTTTTTTTTGGTCATCTGGTAATGTTTCTAACTGGCATTTTGTCAATGAACTGATAATGCTACAAATCTGTTTTGATGACTGTCCATTGACGCACATATACACCATGTCGTAATAAGCCGAGAAAGAAAATAACTTAAAGTTCTTGGGATTTCTACATCCGGGACCCATGGATCTGGAAGAGCTGTGGAATATGAGAAAAACAGAGATTAGGGAAAAGTAGATCCACGGCTTTATAATCCAATAACATTGTATACAATCTATGCTATGGTATGGCTGTGATGACGCTGATGATGAAAATGGTGACAGAATGAGAGCAAATGACTCTACTGACATGCATAATGGTTGGGAACATCGACAAAATCACACACAGTCATGTCTTCACCACTTACTACACGTTTAAGATGTGTGCCCCTTTAACATTTACTTGATTCTGCATGTTTAAACGTCTGCGTTTGTGTGTTTATTACGTGCTGGGTGTGACTGTGTGTGGCTCTACATTGAGACTGGGAAGGACATCTGCTGCTGCTGCACTGAAAAGGTCGGGATATTTCATGTCGCAGCATTGGTAAGGAGAGCCCGGAGAGACACGCGGCTCAATCGATATCTAGTCAGGCTGCCGTGCCGGGCCACTGCTGGACCAGAGTAAGCATGTCCGTGTTTACACACATACAACAAGCTGGTGCAGATCACCACGACAAACAGCATGTGGGGGCTTTCTTGACCATTCATTTGCAAGTGTATTTGACAGGGACCACGCATAATAAACTTCAATACTTGAAATCTGATGCATTGTACAGATAAATAAAGCGGAAAAAATCTATTTTAATCCCCACTCCCCCGGGCAGTCCTTACTCTACAGCGTCCGGACTGGAGGGTTGTGGCGGAAACAGTGATGAGATTTCTGCTACTAAGCATCAGTAGAGCAGCAGTTAGTCATCTTTCTGTACGATTTATTATGAAATTATTAAATTATCTATAAACTAAAATCTCTCTCAAAATGAGATCTAAAATACTGTTCCCTACTTGTTTTGCTACGTGATTGACGAGGGCCAACTTTGTGGTTGCCCAATGACAGAAAAAAAGACAACGCTAGGCTTTTCAAAATAAAAGCATCGGGCCAGAAAGCAACTTATATATCAATAACTATATTAAAGCCTTATTTGTGCTAAGAAAAACTTCAGTGTACAGTTATCTCTCATACTCAATGCAGCGCCATGAAACACCCCAGATCTCTGTGGACATCACACACACACACACACACACACACACACACACACACACACACACACATATATACTGTATATACAAACACTAACATCTACCAGGTCTACCCATTAGCACATCTATCGCACAGTTCCTCACCCATTCCCGCCTCTCTTTGGAACAAAGAATCATGACTCCCTCATTCTCTATGCCACTCATTTGGCGTGGTACCTCTCCCTCCCTCCTCCTCCTCCACCACCACCACCACAGCGGCTTCCTCCTCCTGCGTCTCCGCCGGCTTCATTCAGCATGAAGGACGGAGGGGGAAAACACAAAAGAAAAGGAAACAAACAAACAAAAAAAGAAAGACAGAAAACGACAAAAACATGAACAGGCTGATGAGTGTCAGTGAGTGGATTGTGAGAAGCTTAGGGGTAAATATAGAGAAAGGCAGATATATATCTATATATCCATATGAGAGAGAGAGAGAGAGAGAGAGAGAGAGAGAGACAGAGAGAGAGAGGAAAGAGATTGATACAGTGTCAGAGATAGACAGGAAGACTAAGTGATGGATTGATAACAGCCGGAAAGAGAGGGAGAGCTGTGTGAATGATGGAGTGAATGTGTTCGTGAATGACATTTCAAGGGCAAGTGACATTTGGAGCTTTCAGTGTTGAGTGCAGGATCAAAGCACAACCGCTTCAGAGGGGATACCCCCCCCACCGCGACCGTGTGTTTCGGAGACTCACCTTGGTTTTGTGGCTCTGCTCCGTAGCCAGGCCGGATCCCGGAGTGTGGAGCTCCTTGGACACGACGCACAGAAACTCAGCCTGGTCCTCTGTTCCGTAGCTGTATGACGAGCCAATGTTCACCATCTGGAGGAGAGAGAGAGAGAGAGAGAGAGAGAGAGAGAGAGAGAGAGAGAGAGGGAGAGAGAGACATGGTGAGTGTCAGGACGAATTACAGATCACAGCAGAGAAAAACAGAAATCATGAGATGGAAAGTAACGGAGACAGCTGAGATCCAACACTGCAGAGAGGGAGGACTTATTTTGCTCATGCATGGTGGTGGGGGGAGGGGCAGCCTGCTGTTCCAGCCTCGGCAGTGGACTCAACAACGAGCATCTTCTACTTGTGGGAAGTGGCACAAACAACTGGGGGTCAGCTTCTGCAGGGAGCTGTGTGCAAGTCATAGCTGTGCAGCATGCAGTGGAGCTTGGTGCCGAAGCTGTGGGAGAGGAGGAGGGGTCTCCGTGTGACTCTAGGCTACAATGTGGATAGGCTGACCTATTAAGACTCCACCAGGCTCTGAAGTCTGAGGGTCAATGAACTGCAGCCTGTCAACTTAAGGGGCCAGTCCTTCACTTCAAAAGACAACCTTAATACAGACAGTTTTTTCCCCCCCTATATCTGACATTACAGCGACTCCAAAGATCAATATAATTGAGTCTATTTTTACTGTGTGGTCACACTGTGAGCGGTGGGTTGCTCTCTTCTATCAGACTGCCGATGGTGTGACAGTAAGAGCTGGTCTGCAGCATTTTAAAACATTCGTGAGCCAGTTTTTAAACTCTTAATAGAAGACTGCAACTCAAGATTATTTTTCTCAAATAAATCATTTGGTCTGAAAATATCATAAAACACACGCATCACAATTTCTCAAAATAAATGTATATAGTGGTCCGAGTCCCTTGCTGGTTGTGTTTCATGCGTCCACAACAGAAGCACACACTGACTATTTATTCTGTGACACATTTGATTTTGTAGCTCACAATGTGAACACACTGTGTTGTTACCGCTGTCATGTAACCTACAGCAGACTTAACAAACACATCTGGTCTATGACAAATAAACAGTAAATCTACCAGCTGTAGACAAACCTCTTGAACAAAGACAATGACCCGGGAATACTCCAGAACCAGCGCAGGACATGGGCCTTATCTGGGTTCTGAACCCTTCGTACAAGGCTGAAGGTAAAACATACTGAAGATCGAGTGCTGTGCCTGCGGTGACATGGTGTCTTTGTGTAAGTAGAAGTGCAATGGAATATCTTCAACATTTGAATTACGAAAAAAATGTAAATATAGGTCATGGACTCACTAGATAAGTCCTACCGAAGGAAAATAAATCAATACAGCCAATGCAAACTAATGCAATCTGGGAGTCCTAAACTGAGTTGGGGAGTGCAGCTAGCAGGGCTCAGGTTTCGGGGGGGCCAAGGGGTCAGGCCAAAGGGGTCAAGATTGAAGGGTCAGCAGCAGCGCGAGTCCAACCCACAGTCCAGAGCAGTCCGGTGCGGGGCTTTCTGCAGGCGCGCACGCTGACCTGCTCAAACTTCCAGCCGTCCGACATGGTGGAGACCATCTGGGTGAGCTCCTCCTCCTGGCACTGCAACACTCGGTACACGTGCTTGGGGGGCACCTGCTGGGGAAGGAGGAGGAGAGAGGGGGGTGGGGGGGGGAGTTGTGAAGACAGCAAACATATGTATCTGCCTCGACAAAATCGAAGAGACAAAACAATAATGCGGTCGTGAGCTAGCTGTGAGATAAGCGCTTTCATGTCTTGGCACTATATTTAACAGCAGCAGCGAGTCCAGACAGTGGGTGTATGTTGGAGAGGGCAGTGAGATTATGTTAGAGTGAGTGCAACCACCCTGAGAAAAGAAAAGAAGCCTGATGTGCAGCACAGCTCTCTTCAGAGAAGCACAGGAGGGTGAAATTACCAACAAAGACTGCAGCACTGACACACATCGCACTTACACCACCACCACGGTGTGTGTGTGTGTGTATGTATGTGTGTGTGTGTGTGTCTGTTCGTTTCAAATGCAGACAGTTAAGTACTGAAATATGTAGTACACTCTATATTGTAACCGCTAAAAACAACCATTATGGTTTAAGAATATTAACATAACTGTTGCGTTACACGGCATCTTTAACATGACACACACATGACGCGCTGTATCGGTTTCATAAAAAAACGACTGCAGCGTCTGAGGCCATCTGTTGGGTTGTTGAGTTCTGTGTTTACCTGTGTGGCTTTGGAGTCCCTCTCCACGATCCGCTCCTTGATCAGTTTGATCAGTGGGGTGATGTTGTAAAACTCAGCCTCCTCCAGGACACCTTGAAAACAAAGGAAACAACACACGGGTCAGCTCCCGTGTGCACACTGAACGCAGACACAACCCCGCATTTTTACAAAATTGAACGATGTCAACCATTTATCCACTACTTTAAGCTCACTATTTTAACTGTTCATCCACTACTTTCAGCCAGGGAATTTGTATCTAGTAGTTATTGCTGCAGAATTACACCTTGGTACAAGTACCAGTATGACAATATACATATAGATTGTGTATTTTCACGTGAAAGAAACTAGAATCTAAAGTGATGAGAGACCCTCAGGGACATGAGGCAGTATGGAGGCCCACAGTATTCTCCTGATTTCCACCTGCCCAACAAACACAAAAAAACCAACTCATGCACCCCGGACCCATGTGAGCAGAGTCAAAGCACGTCAAAGACCTTCTTCAGCCAGCTCCTTGTTGTAGACCAGCTTGCCATGCCGCAAGTAGTTGAGAATGGGGCCGAAGTAGGTGGGGTCTCTGTCAATCACATAGGCTCCAGAGTCATCCTGCAGCAGACGGAGAATCAGAGAGACAACTCAATTAAAGCATGTTCACATCTTCATGTATTTACATAGCTGCAGAAAGTCTCTCTTCTTGTGTGTGTGGTGTGTGATTGTGGGTGGTTATTCTATTACAAGCTGTGGATGTTTTTAAACTTGTTATAGTACTTCTTTTTGTGGTCCTGTGTAATGTCTAAACAAAGGATGTGGCCACTGTTATTTTTGGACCGCACCATTAATGGACCTCTTTTGTAATATGTTGCAGTATTTTTAGACCCAAAAGTTCACGAGCTGGAGAACAACATCCTGGTTTGGCTTTTTTTTTCATCTTGCGTTTGCAGCGCTGGCTGTTCAGAGCGTAAGTACGTACGAAAAGATGCATCGCAGAGGGTTTTGTTTTCAAAATAAAAGCCCCCCCATAGAGCGGATGAACTCAATTAATATTTCTGCTGTATCGAGATGTATAAAAGGCGACGTAACAATTGGTAGTCAGATAGCAACGTTACTTTTCAGCAAATATTCCATTAAACCCTTCTGCTGAGCCTGCCTGGCTGTTATGTCATGACTACTGCCGCTCCAACTAACACACACACACACACACACACACACACACACACACACACACACACA